GGACATTTTTTTTAGAGAACACCAGGGTTTTATTCTGATATTTACACCTGTGATTTTTAAATAAGCAACATGGGTCCTCTTAGGAAGTAGATAATTATCCTAGATTGTCAACCAGCTGGTGGTAGAAAAAAATCCACAGGAATCACCTAAGCTTGTAATCCCAAGAGGAAAAATGCAACTAACTTGGTTAGGCAGCAACTAAAAACTGCAGTCATATAACAGTGAGGATTAATAGAAAGAACTTGGCCTGTGGAGCCAATATTGGGCACAAATGAGAGCTGCTTGATATTAAGCAAGCCCCTTGACCTAACTGAGCCTCAGTATTTTTCATTTGTAAATGGGAATAATAATAATAGTGAGATTGGAGAGATAAGTTAAAACTTCTAGTTCATGATAGGTACCCTGTTCATTCTAGTTTCCCTCCCCCGCCCCCCAATCTTTTCATTCTTCTCCCAAGCATACAACTGCACTTCCTTCCTCCTTGAAGATAAATCTGGCTGTGTGAGTTGCTTTAGCAAATGAAATTTGAGCAGCTTTAAAAGCAAGTCGAAGATTCGCCATGCATCTTTTCTCTCTAGAAAGCAACTGGCAATGTTGCAGATAAGTGAGCAGCTTGGGGTCAGCGGTGAGGATGACACAGTAAAATTCACAAAGGATGGGTCTTGTGAGTGAGAATTTTATGCCACTGTGATTTTTGAGCTCTTTGTTACTGCAGCATAACCTGCACCTTCCTATTAACTCACTAACCTTTAAATAACTGCATTTGCCAGTAACTCGTTAATTCATTCCACAGATATGTGCTGAGCAAGCGTGGTGCTACATGCTGGGAAATGCATGATCCTGATTCTTGCCCTCAAAGAGTTCACGGTGAGGGGGGAAAAAAGAGGGTCATTCTCGGAAATCTTTAAAAAATATATCTCCTGTTGATTCTAATGATGAACAAGAGTCAAGGTTGGGACATACATCAAATCCTTCATATATGCCCTGACTGCCTGCAGAAACTGGGCACAGAGAAGCTGGAGATGATAACACAAGGGTAGTAATGTGGAGGGAGAATGAGAAAAAGAAAAAAAAAAAGATGGTTAAACTGACAAAGTAAAAACTGGATACTGCATCTTGTCTCTTGGTTGCCTGCAATTTAACCTGCCAGGAACTCTCTCTGACTATTTTAGTACCATGGGACTTAGGAACAGAAGTCCCGGGGTGATCAAGGGGCATCCCCTGGGCGGGGCACCAGGAGTAAACACCGAGGGACCAGAGGCATGTAAGAGCTGCCTTGGGGAGACAGTAGCTCTGGGCAGCAGCAGAGGGACAGTGTGGAAACGGGGCTCGCCACCTGGAGCAAGGCCCACAGTGAGTGCAGGAAAGGCACCTGGAAGAAAAAAAAAAGGAAGGGAAGAAGAGAGGGTGAAAGGTAGTGTGGGAGGGCGGAGGGAGGGAAGGAGAGAGGAAGGGAGGAAAAAAGAAAGAAGGGGGAGGAACCTCGAGTTTAAAAAGAAAGATAGTGCTCGTTGGCTAGCGCAAGGCCTAAGGGAGAGCCCAAAGCTGGCACCAACCAGTTTCTGTCCCTTAGAGCATTCCAGCAGGCCCCCACATGCGTGTCAGTCAGATGCCTGTCCCCCTAGGACAAAGCTCCAAGACCAGGAAAACGTCCGCTCTGCACAAACTCTGGGCCACCACGGTTGGGCGCCTCTGCTGGGCCTGAGGAGGTTGAGAGCAAAGCGAGCGCCTTGAGAGATGTTTCTCAGGTTATGGTCGCTTGTGGGTCTCATGGCTGGGAGCCCCCTTGGTTCTCAAAGCTAGCAAGGAGGCCTTCTGCCTTTCACCCCTCAATTCTTCCCTTCTTCCTGCCTGTAACACAGATGTAACGCCTGGAAGAGGCAACCACTTTGTGGCTGTGAGGATGAAAACCATACATTAAGGAAGACCGATCAAAGGATTTGGGTTTCTTGATGGCATCATTGAGCTGTCATACAAATCCTAGAAAGTCTGCATTCAGGCTTTTTTTTTATATGGGACAAACTCTTATTTGGTTGAAAATCTACAGAGGAGTTTCTATTATACGCAGCCAAGTACAAACCCTAACCAATACAACCTTCATCTGGACCTCATCTGGGCCTCATTCCCTTCCCATCAGTGGGACTCCAGCTATTTCTGGGCTGCATGAGGAAGTAGCTGGCTAACATTTATAAAGATCCTAGGAGAACATTACATGGTTATAGGAATATATTTTAAAAATCTATTCCAATCTTTTTCTTTTAAGCAGAACCCTGTATATTGTACATAGCTTCTCTCCTTCCCACCCTACCCCTATGTAGCCAGGGGCATCCATTGCAGGAGGGAAGATTAGAATGTTAAACCAGGGAAGCAAAGACAAAGGCAAGGTAAGGTAAAACCTAATTGATCACCCTGAGGTGCAGTTTGTATAGAAAAGGCAGAATAAATGCATGATTGTTTCTTTTTTAAAAAACAATTTCTAAATAATGAGTTCGTTCCCTTACCCATTGACAGTAATCAATCGAGTTGCTTTAGAATTCTTTTAAACTTGTAGATGTAATCCTATTTGAGTGTTTGCAACAATTGTAATTATCAAGTTTTCGTGCTCAAATTGACCCATCCTTGCCTAGTGGGCATCTATTTGAATTGGTCCTTAGTGTTTTTGACACAATCCTAGTGGTTGCTCCTTTCCTTATTTTCTGTAATTATTTTAAAATAAAATGATCTGGTATCTGGGATTTGCTTTAAAATGATGGCATGAGAAAAAGATGAAACAATTAATTGGCCATGAGTTGATAACTGTTCAGGCTGGGTGATAGCCCCATGGAGGTTCATTATACTGTTCTCTTACATTTGTGTATGCCTGAAATTTTCCAAAATAAAAATGAAAGATAAAAAAAACTTCAGCTTATGACTTCCAAGAGGACCCTGAAGTCCTTAGCAAGACAATGGTCTTAAGTGCCTGACTTTGATGGGAGAAAGAGATTTCTAAGGCTTTTTTTTTTGATGTAGCAAGAGTAAGTGTAGCTAGAGGTCTGAGTATAGAACTGTATTCAAATTCATAAGTAGGGAGCTATCCGGATATGACCCACATCCCCCCAGTCCCAGGAAGGCAATAAAAAAAAAAAGAAGCCTGAGCTGGCTTTAGCTCAGCTGTCCCTTCTTCCTGTCCAGTCTTCGCTTGCCAACCACTCTTGCTTGCCAGGGTGGTTCCAGACCAGGGGCACCCTCCAGCCCTTTAAAAAACAAACAAAACAAAACACCTCTAAGTGGAAAACAGTAGGAGGGTGAAGGGTAAGGAGCGTGGGGAAAGTCCCAGGGTTTCTCGTGGGTGCCTCTTGGCAGTTTTGGTGGTGGTCACAGGTGGGTAGAAGGGGGTCCCTCATGAACTGGCTTGTTTCATGTGCTCCCATCTTGGGCCCATTTCTTGCCTCTAATCTCCGACAAGCCTGACTCATTTTCTCGTGGTCAAGAGGCTCCTGCTTTCCAGACAGGGCAGGAAGGAGCCCTGAGCTGGGAGCCCAGATGCCAGCATCTGAGCCCTGCCTGTAACTCAAGATGACACACTATTTTAGATCTCAGCTTCATCACCCATGAAATGAGCCTCCAGTGTTCCCATCATGCGAAGCTGGGACTCCGGGAGCAGACGGCCTTGTAGGCCTTCATGCCTTTCCCCCAAACATCTTTTCCACCTTTCCACATGACATCACCTCCCAAAGAAATAGCAACTGTTGTCACTTTTTGCAAACAACTGGGGAGGAGGTGCCGGGCATAGATGACACCGAAGTTGGCAGCACTCTCATGCTGGGGGAATCCGGTGCGACCCGATCTGGACGATTTCTCCTCTCCGTCCTTGCTCGCCCGCAGATCCTGACCCCGGTTCCCACTGCGGAGAAACCTCCTAAGAGACGGCTGCCGGCGTCGCCTCTGCTGGGAGGCGTG